AGGAGACATACAATTACCTAAATCCTAGATAAGCTTTCAAGTTTTAATGTTCTTCAAGCAGAAGTAATAATGGAGTCATATGAACAATTAAAATTCGAATTTAAGATTGTTTACCTCAAAAAATATTTTAATATATTTTATACATTTACTGACCACCTCTTAAGCTAACACTTCAACCACCAGTCACTGAAGAGCCTGTAACAAATAAGGAAAGAAGTCCTCTCATGAAAGGCACACATAGACAACTTTGGACCATCTCCCTCAGAACAAAAAAAAAAAATAATGAAACATGTATGCTTGTAAGAAGGGCTTGAAGAGAAGTCAACATGGCAGCTGCAAGCGGATGACCATAGCTCTGTCCTTTTTTTCATATGTTGCACACCAGATGCATATAGAAAACAGCTGCCATCTGACAGCACCAAGGAGGCACTTCTGTAATACTTTAACTCCACACTGAAATTTTTGAAGTATAAAACACCACTTTAGCTTGCAGTCCAACTCTACTTCACATGGAACTGGGTAGTCTCAATCTGATGGATTTTGTCTGGAAGGGAGAATCCAGTTGTGAGCAAAAGGGATGCTTTTTCACACCTAGACGGGCAGTGAGACAATGAACCCTTAAGAATGATTGCAAAATGTGTTTTTAAAAAATTCACACAGACAGACACTGAGCCATTACTGATAAATAACAAACCCAGAAGATAATCAGGAGTATCCACCAGCAGGGATTGTTCAAAAAATCAAGATCGTATGAGGGAAATGTCGTACCTGCCTCTTTTTCATCATGCGATACATAGCTTCAATTGTACAATCACACAAACCATCTTGACTTTTTGATATCCCCCCCATAACTCCTCTGGCTACAATATGCTGCAAGTTTTTAAGGGGGGAGTGGGCTGAGGCCATACAAAGCACCAGTCACTTGCCTACCTCTTCCCAAGAGTGATGCTCTATTCTTACAGGCTATTATTGTTAGCATTAGACTGAGACATATATAGGAATGGCATATTGCTAAATATCGAAGTAGAGGAAGAAATACAGAAGACTGCACGGATCAAGAGGCCACAGGTTGGCTTAACTTCATGTGAGATTGTTTTGCATCTCTTTATAATCATTGCAAATTCTATCAGGTAATTTATAAAGATGGTTGTGACAGTTCAACAAAAATGCTTCAAATGTTTAAAAGTTCAGTATAGACACTACAGTGTATTTTAAAATTGTTTTGCCTGTTCAATTACCAAGTCACCAAGGTAAATCAAGGGGTGCTTCCAGACAATACTCCTGATCCATTCATTTCACAATGAAAATGAAAACAGGTTTGAGAGGCCTGTTCTGTTCTTGGTTAGGATGTTACAGAATGAGTATTATCTTCGTCTTTGCAACTGTACACACAAATGAAGAATCAGTAACCAATAGAATCTTGTCCGTGCTGTCTATATAGGACCTCATTTTTACACCAAAACACAAATTGCTTCTCTCCCCCCCTTAAAGATAAAATACTTGGAATAATTATCAAGCTGGCAAGCTCCCATTCATTGTCATTCTGTTTTGGCCCCACTGCTGCATCTGTGGTGACACTTACTTCCTGAAAATGTAACATTGCAACCAACTCTGCAGGGACGATAAGATGACATTAGGTCAAAGTATGACATTTAGTGCCTAGTGTTCTTGTGAATTGATGCTGGCAGAGAGGAACCATCAACTTTAATACACATTATTCTTAAAAAGTTCAGATACAAAGCATTTCTTCATGATGACATCTGCACAAAAAATGTACCTCCAGCTAACCCTTCCTACAAAAAATAGCCATCTGTCATTAAACCACAGACATCGTAGAATGAGCTAGCCAGACTATAGTGAAAAATGTATTACACCATGTCTATAACCAGTGTGGCATACCAATTTAAGTGCTGCATTTAATATTAGCAAGACCAGCATTGAAATCCTTTTACCAAGGAGATCCTGTCCCTTGCCTGTTCTTGTTGTGTATTTGTTTGGCATTATACACAACAAGAACAGGCAAGGGACAAGATCTCCTTGGTTAAGGATAGATTTCAATGCTGGTGTTGCTAATATGAAATGCAGCACTTAAATTGGTATGCCATACTAATATATTCATTGATTTTTTAAGCCTGGATGTATTAAGGAAGCCTTGATCAATTCAAGGAATGAAGGAAGCAGTGAAAGTATCATTTGAAGTACAGCACACGGTCTCAATGCTGTTTCCTGCTGAAGAAAAAGGCCGGAAAGGAAATCTAACATTAACTACAAGTCTGACTGTCCAACCTATTATATAGGAGGTTCATAAGACGATAGTTTGAGGCGGGGATGGGATGTGTTGAGGCCTTGAGTCATCAGAAGGTAATAATAAAAATTTAAGGTATAAGTCTTATATTTGGTGTTACAACAGGAATGTAATACTTGGAATATGGTACATAAACAAAACAACACAACCTGTAGTAAGACAGTTATTTCCATGAAAATGATGTTTCCTTTTCATTCAGTGATAATGATTTTGGAATGTATCTGCAAATACTGAAATTCAAGAGGAATTTGCCATTTTTTCTATTATTATTTTTTGCAAGGATGAGAAAGTACTTTTGATGTAGACTATGCTATACACAGCAGTTTGCTCTGCAATACCCACTGAATTTCAAGAATGTCAGGATTTTGATTTGGGTTCCCACAAAACTGACTTTTTTCATTTTCTTTTTCAATTAAAATATAAGCAAATATTAAAAGGTCTTGTCAGGAAAGTGGAGAAAGTTATTTCACAGCAACATTTTTTTCTTAAGGGTTATGCGACTTCATCCAAAGGGGTAACAATTTTATTTTGAGGCACAAGGGGTGAAGTATTAACTATTACACACCAAAACATGTATCTTAAAAGATCATCTCTCATATTTATTCATCACAAAAGTACTTCCTGCTTTTATGACCAAATGAAAATTCTACAGAGACATAAGGCATGGGAATCATTTATATCCACAAGGTAAAAACAAATGTAAGCCTCTCATTTTGAAGGAATAGCAAAATGGAAACCCTACTTGAACTGCAACATGTAATAAAATGGCTCCTTGGTTTACTTCCATGTAGTATATTGAGAAAACTAAGAGAAAGACATTGTTGAAAATAAATGTAGCACCATGAAAAATCAAATATTGCTCTTTTGTGAGAGACGGTGAGTTGTGGAAGATACCAGTAAAGCAGAAGATGGCACGGACTTGACATCAGCCCTTCATCATAACAAAGGCTTGAATGGAATCGTGTCAACTTACGCACTGGAAATCCTAAAAGAAATTTTTAAAAAATCACTGAGGCTGCTTTTTGGCACTTCTGCACAGGGCCCTGGTGTATTTGTCCGCTATCTCTTCTTGCTCTTTTCCCAAACCGCAAAATCACATAGCGCCTGTACTCATTCTTTCCCCCACTAAACATAGGCAGTTACATGGAAAAGCATTGTTAACTAAAACATAGTACACATATGCCACCTTAGCAGGTGATTCACTCCACACAATTATCATTTGCATAAACTAATTTTCTCCCTAAAATACTGCCTTCATGAATTCTGCATATAGTATTGTGTTATTGGGTGTTAATCACATCCTGTTTCCCCTGGACTGCACTATCCGTTGTGAGAGGATAGGAGCAGAGAGTGCTATTCAAATGGGGATACTGTCACAGCCTGAAAGGAAAAATCAATCTGGAAAAAGTTTGCATCCGTAGCTAAGACTTACAAGAAAATCTTAGATCAGCCAAGCAAAAATTGGACTATATTCTTAAAGGCACACTGAGTTGTACCATTTAGTTCTGTATCATTTAGAATTCATATCATCAGTTTATATATATATATATATATCATGTTAGTCTTGCAACAAAACCAAAGCATTTTGAGATGCTATTAAATACCAGCAGATTTACTGCAGCCAAAGCTTTCAAAGCCAAAGCTGCAATATATCAGATAGTCTGATGTCATAGATCTTTTTGTGACTTTTGGGAATTAGAGATGACATCACTTTAGTAGGAGGAGGAGAACAGCAGTGCCCTTTAAATTTGATAGATTATGCACCTTTTGGGGACCATTATAGCTCTGCAGTTTTCACATGAAACAGTCTCAAGTGCACGCTGAGACTATACCATACATAATCCTGAGTTTGTTTATATCTACAAAATTTTGATGCATGTGCTAGAAGTCAAGATGATACAGCCCTCCCTGTAGGAACCTGACAAAGGCCAAGCCATGATAGATGGAAGATTTTGGAATTTGCTTTTCTAGAGGAAAGGTAGAAAAGGAGTAATGGGTATTTTTAGGGGAACATTCAAAACCTCCCAATATCATCAACTGCCACTTAGATAACAGTGAGAGGAACTTTGAGTAGAGAGGAATCCATCATGTACATGTGAACCCACAGCAGAGATTAAATGGAAGAGGGCTCAATTCATGAATATTTCTGATCTGATTTGCCCAGTTCCAAGCCCTCTTTCAGATAAATACAGAAAAGAAGTACCATGGACTGGTGAAAATTAGGAGATAGTTAAGAGATAATTAACTGGAAGAATTCTAAAAACATCCCTTAATTGCAGACCTAGTATTTTAAATCAGGGATGAAGCTACTTATCCTATCCACTGGATAACTCTAGTCAATTCCAAATCAAGATCGTTCTATGGGCTGAATGAGTGACCCTCCTTATATCAGACCTACCTCAGCTTTTTGTTTTGTTTTGTTTTTGACTGCCATCCTGGGGATAAGGAGAGACGAGAATAAATAAATTCATAAATCACAAAACCTTGTTGTGATTAAATTAATATCAGGGGGAATTAGAAAGCAAAGCTAGGTATGGGGTAGGTAGGAGGAGAGTCTCTTGCTCCACTGCAGATCGAGGTATCAAAAAAGACAAAGTAAGGCCAGTACTAGGAACTTTCAAGTGTGACTGCACCTATGAGCACCCTCCTCCATTCTAAGACAAGGCTGTTACTATGGGCAAACCAAGTTTTCCATTCATCCATTCTACAAGAGCTTCAACGAAAGGCTATCTAAAGACATTGGTGGAAACGTAAAGAGGCTGTACGTCGGGGAGCTGAACGCCCCTCAGAGCTGCCTTTACGATGCTGTGGCTCACTCTGCTGGTTAGGAACTGCCATGTTCCCTGGTGTGATTGAGGAAGACCGAGCTTTGGTTGACTCTAGGCTGCTAAGCCCAGAGTCTTTGTTGTCCCTTAGCGCACCTCTGTTCGAGGAGTCTAGTGGACCAGCCTCAGTAGTCCCCAATACATGTTGTTCCTTCCACTCATAATTGAGGTCTTTGAGACCACCAGGAACCACCACAGTATGGCGCCGCCAACTGTTCTTCTTGCGCCGTGTCTCAGGTGAGTGTGGCTTTCGCAGGCGCACTGCCAGCATGTCATCTGCAGAGCCACGGAGGCGGAGTCGAAGTTGTTCTGTGAGGGAAAGCCGGGTATGGACCTCAGGGGCACCCACAGGCTGTAGGGACTCTTGACTGCCTGGGGAGCTGGAACTTGGGACATCAGTGCTACCCTTGGAAGATGACTCACTATTGTGTCGGGGCCGCAAAAGCTTGCGCCGGGCCAGAGTGTCACACTGCATGAGGTGATGGGAACTAAAGGAGGTTCGGTTGTGTGATATCTTTTCAGATGCAGCAGCCCCCCCTTCCTCCACTACTGCCACACCAGCTCCTTTGGGAAGCATCCCAGGCTGCTTTGGCACAAAGCTATTCTCAGTATCTGTCTCCACATGGCTAAATTCACTCCGTTCATCATCTGCCTCCTCCCCACGGCTCTCTGCTACTGACTGCACCTCAGAGCATAGGCTGCGATCAATGGTAGATAGGGTGGAATAACCTGATACAATTGAGCGGGCATCCAGGGCCAACTCTGGGCTTCCTCGGGGTGCCACTTTTCTTTCTACTTGCTCTGCTTCTAGTTTTGCCTGGCTTTGGAAGACATCCTGCACATCAGGAACTGGAGCTCTGCTGCTGCTCTCAAATCTTTCAGCCTCTCTTTCTTCCTCCTGAGCCACTTCTTCCTCCTCCTCCTCTCTCTTGACAGCTGACTCATGCTCAGAATCATCATCTGTGCTGCTCCCAAAACGCTTGGCCTCTCTCCGCTTCTTCCTCTTGCGGTTGACAGCTGAGATGAAGGAGATGGCAAGCATCTCTTTATGGTAGTGCTCTTTCCGTGAGCCACATGAAGCCTGGAGCAGAAGGAAAAAACAGAATTTTAGAGGGGCTAAAGAGCAGATACCAGAAAAATATCCAGTGACATTGCTTATGTGATGGGTTGCCCTGGATAGTAATGTCTTACCCCACAGAATTCTTAATATATATTAGCAATATAGATTAGCAATCGCATCAGCATATTTTGCTTTTCCCAGTTTTGGAAAACATATTTGTAGCTAGAGCAATTAGAAATTCTAATTTTAGGATCCCCCAAATGCACTAAAAGATCTGCAGATATTCTCCCTAAAGGTTTTCAGAGATTCTCTCCTCTGTCCAACTCTTTTCTTGTTTTTAATTAAATGCACTATGCACACTATGAAACTAATTTCCAGCTTCCAGTCCTTTTTTTTTTTTGGCCTACAATGTTTTGGAACAGTGTATTCATTGCTCTATATTCATAGAAAACCAACCAGAAAAGATAGAAAAAAGAAAAGACACATGGGAGGAGATGTGGAATAATCTTATACTTAGTTTAAGGCAAGAAAGAAAAGGATAAGTTGTGTCTGTATACTGGAGTACAACTCAGTTGCCTGCAAGCTGCTGAGAAGTACATTACAAAGCAGCACACTCTGAAAAGGCCAGTCACAGCTGCCAGCAAAGTATCACAACACCAGAAAAACTAGGCCGTGGCCATTTAGGCAACAAAATTATCACGCTTGAGTAAAATAATAACAGGGTTGTTATTTTTTAAAACAATTTAAATCAAGACATGCCATGTGCCAAAGTAGCACAAACACTTTACCTCTAACATGGGAAGTCTGAATTTAAGGGCCTTGTGTTTAACCATCTTTTCTCATCCCCAACCTCTCTCAAAGGCAAAAATAATCTGAGGGGATCTTACCTTTGATTTCGCTGATCCACTATTAGTTGAATCTGCAGGGATTAATACACAAAAAGAGAAGAGTTAAAGATAGAACTGTGCAAGAATAGCAAGTTGAGGGGCTTAATGATTGGAAAGACAAGTGATCCTGAAGAAAATCTATATGATCGCTAAGATTTGATACAATGGCATGCAATCAAAAGATAAACAAGGGCAAATAAACACTTTGTCCAGTGATTTTCCAACTAAAAAACTAATATGAAAAATGGAGGGAGCAGTTGTAAAACATCAGATTCCTATGCTGCCTTCTGCCTCTTCATTGTGCTGGTCACAGAAAATAAATACAGGTATGACAGGGGCCTCACATGCACTAAAACAGGAATCTACATCATGATGTAGGCAAGGATTTATAACCCCAAGTTTTAGACTGGCACAGCTCCCTTTGTTGTTTTAATAATTCAGTCACCAATTACATATTCAGGGCTACAGTATCCCCTTTGGGATACCCTGTAGGGGGACACCCCCAATTTGGGAAGTAAACAAAGTACACAAATAGGTATTCCAAAGTCAGTTAACCTTTAAATAACTTTTTCATGAAAGCAAATCTTTCTTCCCAGATATTTGATTACTTTTTATTAAATAGTTATGGGAAAGGAAGCTCTCCAAAATGATCAGAAATATACTAGAGAGTGTTCTGAATTTAATCAAGAAATGCATTTCATTTCATTTCATTTTTGAAATGCTCAACAAAATGATGCAATTGTAGATGACCAAACAAAAGAGAAGCAGCCCAGGATAACACTTTCTGCAATGGAAATGATCAATGCATTTGTAAACAGTGACAATGAAATATAGTGTAGAAAGCACAAAAAATGAGTATCAGTGGGAGACCTATCACCAGTCACCATTACCAATCTCCTGTAGGAACCTAAACAATGGAAGCCCCAAATTAGCTATAAAGGAATAAATATATATATACATGATTTATACACGTATTTGCATACACATATGCATTCACTCAGAAACAGGCACACAACTCATTCTATTAAAAGTGTCAACATTTCACCTCGAAGAGCAACACTCATGCTGGAGATGCATAATTCCTGACTCAGTTTGGCTGAATTATAAATATAGCCTGAAACATTTAGATAGACTGTAGCACATTTTCCATGGAGCTGTGGAGAAGAGCTGAATTATTTAGGTTTTAATCTCTCATCTCTACCACTTTTCCCAAAGAGATGGAGGAAGAGGAGGAAGAGGAGGAGAAACTGATATAACTTCCAAAGGAGATTGTGAGATTAGAGATATTAATTACTTAGCACAATTGAAGTAAGACTTAATGGGGCTAGGTTATAACTCAAAAACTTTTCCAAGGGATAATGCTTAAACCGTTAAAGATACTTCAACTGACACCCTTTCTTTTGGGATTATTGCAATGTGTTGCATGTGAGGTTATCTTTGCAAAAGGTTCAGATATTTCAGTTATTCACATTGACACTATGAGGCTGTTAACTCAAACTAGAAGTTCTTCACATCACAGCAATACTTTGCTATCCCTTTGTAATTAACATTCAGGGCTCAGTATGGAATCTGTCCTAAATTCCCACAAAACTGAAATATCATGAGATTTTGGTATTCTGATGTGAGATACTAATGTGATATTTTGAATGGTTTCAGGGTTCCCAAGGATATACAAGAAATGTCCTTAGAGATATAGCTGCTTTAGTTTTACCAATGCTCAAGTCCAAGATTTCTATCTGTACTTTCAGATCACCCTGGAAGGCTCCTCTTTAAATTCCTTGCCAAAAAAGATGTAGCAAATAAGTAAAGGATTCTTTTCAATCATCATCATTATCATTATCATCATCATCATCATCATCATCATCATCATCTGTCTGGAGTTTTAGAGTGTGCAGGTTTCATTCATTTATTTATCAGTCAAACTTATTAACCACCCATCTCCCTCACAGAGGGGCACAGAGGGGTTGGATGAGTTTACATATACAATTTTAATATTGCCTTAAATAATTTCGGAGCATTAATACATACATGCATATATTTACAAAACAATAACCCACAAAGATCAGGCAAATCAAAAGAACAGCAAGCATTATAATAGCCTTTTAAGAAGACTTAAGATTATTTTAAGTATTCATATCTTAGGAGGCTCTCTAAGTCTTTGGGGCTAGCTGTCATTGTGCAAATTCTACAGCTTGCATTTCATACAACCATAAGCAGATAGGAGAGAGAATTTGAAGAAACTGCTTCCTCTGGCAAATTAAGTTGCTTCAGGGAGCCCTCCTAAAGATAATTATTAATAGACAATGGGAATTGGGAACAGAGTAGCAACTGCCCAATGCCAACGTAGTCATACCAGGTAGTCTCCTATGCTGTTCATTTTAACCACTGTCAACAGCCAAGCCAGACAACCAAAGAAAGCAACTAAGGGACAAATGCAAGGTGTGGGGAGGATGGGGAGAAGAAGCTGTCAAACTAAAGTGACATTTAGCCCTTGTCAGAAATAAACAGCCTTGCAATCACCCTATTCTTTGCAGCCTTCAAACCACCACATCATGATAGTGAGCCTGCTGAGTATCACTGGCACAATTTCTCATGGTTTTCACAAATCAAAAAGTAAGACAGGTATGTTAAGCTCCAATGAGCTTTTTAAAAAAAAAAATCAAACCACCCTCCCTATAAATGAAAAAGAATTTTAAAATTCTGTTCTGGCCCTTTCAGTGACATTAGTCACTAAATTACCTTTCCCTTACGGTTCTCTCAAAAATCAATTTGAAAAAGGGCTTTTAGGCAAGAATAGTGGTTCCTGTCCCAACTGAAGGAACCACAAGAAATGTATAAGAATTAACCGTGGTCTTCTCATAAAATAAGCACATCATCAAGCAGGTGGTTTGAATAAACTTTTCTGAACAAGCTTCCCCACACAAATACAAACATATATTTGCCACAGCAATGTCAGCAACAATGAAACCAATGGACAAATTAATGGAAGTCCCCACAAGGTCTACTCTATTGCAGGTTTGACCGCAACATTCAGGTGGAATTAGTGGCTGGCAATCACAAGAGAGAGAAAAGGCAAAACAATCACACTGACTCAACACCCAGAGCTTAAAGAAGTACTGTCTCTGAAGGAAATGGCATCACACTTTGAGATAAACGTTTTACTTGAGTTTTGATATTTGTGGGTGGCAAAATATACTACAGGCTTTCAAGCCACATAGGACTCTTCATCAAACTGTACATCAAACTCAAAACTCAAATCTCAGTTTGAAAATTAGATTAGTCAGACAAGAAGGCTGGGTGAAGAATGTCCTTTTGCTGGACAGCCGATAATAAGAATTTATCCAAACAAACTTTACTGAAAACTTTTAAAATTTATGATTGCGATTATTTTACTTTACAGTGCTCAGTTTTTCTTATGATTTAATATCTACTGATTAAGTAATAAACCTCAGTGACAGTTCATCCCTGGTTAGTGAGTATTATACTGCAGCTTTAAAATGTAACTGTAAATATATTTAATATAATCACATTTAGTTCTTGTTTTTTTAAAATAACTTATATACAGTATGTTTTAATGCTTTACTACTCAAGTTATTTATCATATAATAAAAGGAAAAAAAGAGAAAATATAAACTGAAAATAGGAAAATTATCTAATAAAAATGTAAAAGTACTCTGTGACACAATAATATACCAATGCTAAGGCACTAGGCATATGAGTTATATGTTACTAAAGCTGCCAAAGATAAGAATTAACTTTTTTATTCTTCCCCAACCTATGTACGGTGATTTTAAAAAAAGATTTTAAAAATAGTGAGAAAATAAAAAAGGATTACAAATGGTAAAAAAAAATGTATAGTGGCAAATTCAGTAGATCAAGGAGTTACATGGCCTGCTCCCCCATCAAAAAAAATACTTAGAAATATTCATAAACATTTGTTTTAAATTGAGATCTCAATTATCACACTTTCCTATCCAGCTGCTTGAAATGGAAATTTCTACTGGTTGACTTTAAGAAGCTCCCTGATTTTAAACAGGAAGAAAAATAATTGGAAGGCAAAACCCTAGTCTTTACATTTTGGCAAATGCCACTGGTGTTCTTTCAAGTCAACATGAAAAATCCAATAAGGACCCAAAATCTAAAGTTATGCCTTTCCCCGTCTCTCATAATCACCCAATGGAATTAGTGCATGAACATCAGAGCACAACCACACTGTACCAGCTCTAGAGCTCCGGCAGATCCGCTGGAGTTGGAAGGAGGAGGAGGAGACACAAGATAAAGAGAGAAAAGAGAAGAAAGACAGCAGAAAAGTTAAAGGCAGCTATAACTAGTAGAGCACAAAAACATCACACTATTAATCAGAAATATGCTCATCAGCATTAGCAACTATAGATGGAATACAAGAGATCTAACTCTAAATGTTGGTTTATCTTCTAGAAATGCAAATGCTACTTCACCACTGGTACAGCTATAAACTGGAATGAAACGGCCATGTATGCCTAAATTCTAAGGATCACATTATTAAAGTAGAAGATCTGGGGAGATCACAACATGCCTTTTGCTGCTAACAATGCAACTGGCAAAGCACCAGAGGAAGCATGGAAAGGAGGCACTCCTAGTTGTTGCCTTCATGAAACTCTCTCCAGTCCAATGTTTCAGATGCTGCCAGAGTATCTCTTTTTTACACATTTGGCTCAGATTAATCCACAGCTGGCTGGGAAATTCTGAGCATTGCAATCCATACATCTTAAAGTTGCCAAGCTTAAGAAACACTGGATTAATATAACATCTATGCAGTAAAGATATATTCATGGGGAATTGTTGGACCTGCATATTTGATTAAAAAAGAGAAAAAGAGTGGAACATCTATGGAAAATCTTGTCCTGGGGGATTTTCATGTCCAGGAGATCTCACCCAATCAAAGCTCTCAGTTTTCTTACCTGAAGCATCCCCTGATGCTGCTGTTCTTCCAATGTTGGGCAGAAGGTACTCAATATTTGGCATTGATTGGGCCTCTTGTTCATCTATAGGGGTCTGTGAAATGGATATACATATACTTAGAAGAAAAAGAGGTTTAAACTATATGTTGATTTAAAATGGAAAAGAGGGCCAAATTCTGTATTCTTCATCCTGTGAATATTGAGCAAATTATAGGTTTAAACTTCTTCCAATATAAAGGGGGTTTGTGTGGACAATTTCTTTACTGTTTCCATTAGTTTGGCATGAGGGCCATAGTAGCACTTACGTGTCCTTTTATATTCCATGGGCTTTTGGGGGGTCCTGTCAGGTATGGCCACTTGCTGCCAGCATTAACATAAACAAATATTAATACATGGGAGCTGTGGTAAAATTGACCAATGAGGCACCATAAGCATAGTTGAGGACCGCAAGGTGCAGCTGAAATAATGTCATCTAATGCTCTTTGAAACATTTCTAACATGCTGGTGATCTATTTCTCAAGACTTTTCTGAAACAAATTTAACAATCTTCCGGAAAACAGCTGAACTGAGAGCCAGTTAGTTGTACTGGTGAAGGTGCTGGCCTAGAAACTAGGAGACTGTAGGTGCTGGGCCTCTCTTAGGCATGAAAGTAATTCAGGCTGGCTGGATGACTTTGACCAGTTGCTCTGTCTTAGCACCTCACTGGGCTGTTGTTGGAGGGAAAATCGGAGACAGAGGTATATTAGTTGTCTTGAGCTGACCATTTTTTTAAAAAAAAGGATGAGATAAAGATCTAATAATGATAAACTCATAAACCAAAATAGCCCAATTGACAGGTTGATGGTGCAAAGAAGGGATATGATCAGTTAGGTTGTGTTTTTGGACATATGTTTAGCATCCTTCAGAAGAATGCTAAATCTGTGTTCAGAAGTAGCCCAAGGGACAATTTAGCAGCACAAATAACTTCTGAAATGATAATATATGACTAAGGCAATGTGAAAGATGGATAAAGATTAGAGGATGGCTCCTCCGCATGTACATAAGGATGTAGACAGCATCCTGCAAAGATAGTTTGACTTAGTCCAGGTGTTTGTAGAGAGTTGGAGAAAAAAGACAATTTGAGAGACATAATTGTCCTTAAGGACTGCTTCCTTTGTAAAAGTAGTTACAGTCTTTGTTTTCCTTTATTAACAGATTCTCAACAACACACAGAGTTCAGAAGAAAGCACCTATATGTCATGAATAAGAGACATTTCTCTTTTGGCATTTCTCTACATCCTGAGAAATCAGCATTCAGCCATAAACTGAGCATTGCCTCCTTCTTAGCCACTTACCTTTTCACCTTTTTCTTCCTTATCACTGAAAAACCAGTCTGACTGTGGGGGGAAAAAAGAGAACCAAATAAAATCAAACATATACTGTATATAGAGAACACAGTGTTAAAGTTTTTAAAGGAAATCACAGCAGGGTGATTACAAACGTTGAGCTGTGAACCAGATTTTTTTCTAGTTTTTAACTTTTTCATGAGGGACATATACCCGTGTTTCCCCAAAAGTAAAACCTACCCCGAAAATAAGCCCTAGCTTGATTTTGGGGGGTGGGCCTAATATAAGCCCTATCTCAAAAATAAGCCCCAGTTTGGGGGCAAGGCACATGCCTAAAAATCAAGCTAGAGTGGAGGTGGGGGATAGAGCTGCTCCATGCACCCTCCATCTGCTTACCATTGCAGCCAGGCCTCTCATGAATTGACTCCTGCCCTGCCTCGCCGGCCCACTTCTTCTGCAGCCATTCGCCACCACTCACACGCATCACCTCCTGCCTCCATTTCGCCATCAGAGGCCCTCAGGAAATGCGTCTGCAGCTGAGAATGGCCAGAAGGACTCTGCAGCCGAGACTGAGCTACAAATTGAATCTATAGCTTGATTCTCGGCTGCAGAGGCCTTTCCAGAAGGTCTCTGACGGCGGAATGCAGGCCGGGAGGGTGTCGCACGTGAGCGGCGGAAAGCAGCCACAGGAGAAGTGGACTGGCTGGGTGGGTGACACTGCCGTGAACTGAGATCCTGGAAAAGACATCTCCCCCCAAAAATAAGACCTGGTGCCTCTTTTGGAGGCAAAATAAATAAATAAGACCGGGTCTTATTTTCAGGAAAACACGATAGCTTATTAACTGAACCCAGAATTAGCTATTAAATGCTATCTCTCTGAGAGGGCTACCTGTCTACTATAATATTTTTAAGATAAAATCCTCAGAAGCTAGAAATGTTTTCTCTGCAAAATGGCTTTTAGGGTTTGGGGTGGAATATATTTGTGATTCCAGAAATATTTGCTAGTAGGTATTCTTTTATATTCAACATTGATACTTATTTCCCCCCAAAGATTTAATCCCCGGAAAAAAGAAGTTAGGTTTAGTTTCAGATTTAAATAAACTCTTCAGTCTGCTGTAAGATTTGTGCAGTGCTTCATTCCACTATTGTCTTAATAGTCAAGAGCTAATTCAATAAAATTTATATGCTCTGAATCATTGTGTGAAGTCATACATGATTCCTGTCCTAAATTAGAAATGAGTCTTACAGTCAGTTGATATGTCTTAAAAATACCCCAATCTTTTTGACATAAGTACTTGACATTTTCTCTAGTCTTCTGCTTGTGTTTATTTAGAGCTGGTCATATGTTTATGCTAATATGGCACACTAGACAATCCAAATAGCACCTGCCATGTTGGCACAAGTTCACTGCTTAATGAAATTAAATTAAACATTTTAAAATGGATAAACCATTTACAGGTCCATTCCTTGAATGTCTGAATGAGAAAGTTACCAACTCTTTGGAAAGAATTTGAGCATCCCTAAAGAAAGAGGAGATACCAAATTAGAGCACAATTACCTCTTTCCAGCTATAAATGGAAGCTGGGCTTGAACCAAGAAAATCCAAGTTGAAATCTCCATTTAGCCATGAAGTTAACTGAGAGATTTGGAACCAAACATTTTTTTCTCAGTCTAATATATTAATAAACAGGATTGATGTAAAGATAAAAAGAAGTGACAGAAAAGAATGATGTACACTAATTTAATCTTCTGTAGAAATAAAAATATTTCTACAGAAATAAATAAATACCATACACTATTTATGAAGAGCACGATCATATAGGTTGTCCAGGTAAAGATTTAACAGCTAATTAGCTTATGTAATGTAAGATGTAAAATGTAATGATAGGAATGATTTGGCAGGGTCTGTGTCTCTTTAAGAGCCTTTGTGTAAAGGGAAGCTCCGCTGATGTGTTCTCTCTCTTCCATTTCCTGCTGTAACTGTGGTGTGTTGGATCCTGCTGTATTAGTACATGTATGTATATTGTTCCTGGTGTATGATATTGTACAGTAGATAGTGTAAGATAAACCACTATTTAATACAGACCACTGTTTACTGTGTTTATTCCTGGGTTATCTCGTGCAATAAGACTGTGCATGTTTTGAAAGGTTATGGACCCAGAGAGAGGAGAAACCCAGTGAGAGCTTGACCCAGAGCCAGAGGAGTTAAGGCTTGTGGTTTGTTGTGGTTTGTGGTGGCAGCAGGCAACATGGACTCTGTCAACATAATGGGAGGAGGCTTCATAGGATCTCTTCTGAATGAGACAAACTATCTCTCCTGGTGTCTGAAAATGGAGATGTACCTGCGAAGGGAGGAGTTGTTGATGATAGTTGCTGATCCACCTGCAGCCCTGGATGACTGGGACCCAAAAAGAATGAGAAAGCATTGGCCAGCTGATACACGTGAGGGGTCTCCAGTCTGCTAAAGAGTGCTGGGAAGCTTTGCCCGTGTGTATGTGAGAGAGACTGTGAACAACAAAGTAATGCTGACAAGAAAGCTATATAAGGTCCATGTCTACTCATTTGCAGTCTATGAGGAAGACATTCCTAGAGTTAGAAGAAAGAGGAATGACTTTTACTGAGGCACACAAGGTGTATGTAGTGCTCAGTTCATTGGATACTTCATGGGATATCCTCTAATATATTAGAGTCCATGCAAGAAATATGGAGTAAATTATGGTCTACCTCTGGTACATATATTACATTATCCAATGTTTCTCCAATATCAGGTACATAAACTTTACCTTCCCCTTTAACAGCAGACTGTTGTCCATTTGCCAAGCTAACAAATGTTTGTTTAGCTGGTCTTAGGTTTGAAAACATTTGTGGGTCATTTGCAATATGCTGACTCACCCCAC